TACAGTATTTTCGTACTTCGTGCTGTGTCAGCATGAATATTATTTGCTTGCAGATTCCCTGTTTGACTGTGCATTCCTGTCTCCTGGGAGTTGTCATTGTCAGCTGCTAATATCAGGGAAACATGTCCATAGAGATGTCTCAGTCTGTTCCATGTGAATGCAGTTTTTCAAGTTAAATATATTTTGTTTAAAATGAAAATCTGTTAATTTTGTTATATTCAGTAATTTAGAAATGCTGATACCCTTTAAGTTGTGGAATTGGGGAGTAACCAGGAAATAGATGGCATTGTGCTGCAGAAGTGTACTTTTGCTTAGAAGAATTTTAAAGGTTTTGATGTTTTTACTTCTTTTTCCTCTTATTTCCCTGATGGCTTCTTTTTATTGAAGGGTAACTTGAGAAGACCTGGTAGCAATTTTATTGCCTTCCCATGATAGTTTCAAATAATAGCATGGTCTTTGGTTGCCAGTCAATTTTATACCAGTCAGCTTGATTCTGGTTTTTATCATGTTGCAATAGACTATTAAAAGTATATGCTTGTAGTTTTTCTGAAGAATCTGACTCTGTGTTTATGCTTCTCTTAACAGTAAAAGACTAAGCTTTAACTGGTCATAATGCATATCCCCTTTCTTATATCTTTGATTAAAGAAGGTACATGAGTAGAAAGACTCCGTGTTCCTAAAAGTTTTTAGAACATCTGGTGGTACAAGTGGTGCATGGTTGTTTAATTTTGCATGTGTGTGTGTGTGTGTCTTATTAAATATTGATTTTATTTTACACACACGCTTGTTTAATTTAGAAGCTGCTTTCTTTTGGTTGTTCCACAAACGTTGTGGACTTCTAGCATGCGGGGGAAATTGCATGTTTTTTCCCCTCCTGGGAAATCAGATTATAAATATTTTTGTATGATTAAAAAGAGTCAACAACAAGAAGTAACTTGGTGAGGTTGGCTGATATTAAAAGCAATTATAATTGTACTGAAAAATTTGGATGAAATCCAACAGAGCCAGTCTGCCAGTGGAATATAGCATAGTTGGAGAAGTGGATTCTTTCCCCTCCCTGGGATCTCCTGTTCATAACCCGAAATCAACTCTGAAGAATTAAGGCATGCATAGGGAGAGTTTGGGGCATTTTATGGTTGGACACTGTGGGGGAAGCAGGAGATGCAGACCCATTTTGTGAGTAGAGTTTATCTCACATAAGATTGAATGTCACCTTTTTGGATGTTTAAATTTTCATTCTTAGATGTAATGAGAAATGTTTATTGATATATAGCTTGTGGTGGTATATGGATAACATTAGAAAATCTAGAAGTGAGGGATGCCCACCAATGTCAAAGAAAAATATCAAAATGTGGCAGAGCAGGGGCATTTGTGCATTTCTCCATCAATTATAGGGCAGTTCAGGAAGTCCTTGGCCGTCCTCAGGTTGGTTTACCCAACTCGTACAATTAACTGAAATTGCTATGACCTTTCTTGGAAATGGCCATTGCTCAGGGCTGGTCTCAGACCAATTTCACTGAGCTAGATATATTCCCATCCACTTGACCAGGTAGCCATTTTGCATCCAGGCATGACAGTGAGAGGATGCTATCTTGCTTACTAGACTGTGTGCATTTTACTGTTTTCCTACTTTTTTGTTTAGGTAACTATCTGCTCTGAATCTCTGTTACAGTTAGGACAAAGTGTGTGTGAATGTGGGATGGTTGACTGACTCTTGTGCAGGCTTTGATTGAATAGGTCAAAGTAGTTCTGAGACTGTATTTCTGCTCCCCCCATTGCTTTCTACTCTATTATTTTTTTAATGTCTGCTGCTGGCTGATGCAGAGTAGAATCCTGGAGGGGCAAGGATTCCTGGGACAGGAAAGCAGAAGAAAGGAAGTTGGTAGGAACTTTAACTGCACATTGGAAGCAACAACCCCATTCCAGGTCATTTCATGTGTTTTGTCCATTTTCAGAAACTGAAATATGTCCATGAGTCCAAGAACAAATTAGTTTTAGCCACCTCTATACCAGCTTGTTGCAGACTAATCTATGCAACAAATATTTGGCTACCCCTACTACAGAGTGCAGTTGGTTCAAAATTGAGAAAGGAATACGATACGGCTGTATATTGTCCCCCAGTTTATTTAACTTATATGCAGAATATATCATGCGAAAGGCCGGACTGGAGGAATCCCAAGCAGGAATTAAGATTGGCGGAAGAAATATCAACAATCTCCGATATGCAGATGATACCACTCTGATGGCAGAAAGTGAGGAGGAATTAAAGAACCTTGTAATGAGGGTGAAAGTGGAGAGTGCAAAAAAATAAAATAAAACGGCCTGAAACTCAACATAAAAAAAATTAAGATCAGGGCCACTGGTCCCATTACCTCCTGGCAAATAGAAGGGGAAGATATGGAGGCCGTGACAGATTTCACTTTCTTGGGCTCCGTGATCCCTGCAGATGGAGACAGCAGCCACAAAATTAAAAGA